AATATGGTGAATGTTGCTCCAATCCACATAATCGGTTAGTCACAACCAGGTGTTGATTGCATTTGCATAATTGGAGTCTAGGAGGTGTTATTACAGCATTGTATGTGGCAGACAATAGATGTCTCACCCACCAGCACCTCTATTCAAGCTTGGCAATAGATTTACAATTCTCCCCGGCTAACATGAATAGGTTAAATCATGATCCATAGTACAAACTACATATACAGTACACACTTCCAGTACGATGCAGCAATAGGTTTACAATGCTCCCCTGCTAACATGAATAGGTTAAATCATGATCCATAGTACATAACATGTGGTTGTACTATGGCTCATTTAACCTATTGACGTTAGCAGGGGAGAATTGTAAATCTATTGCTGCAGTGTGCTGTATATATGTACTACATATACAATACACACTTACAGTACACCTTAGCAATAGATTTACAGCCAGCCCTGTCCCAGCTTCCCTCACTCACAGTTTCACTCCGATCCCCAGTGCCTCTAGTAGTTGCCGCTGGGCAGGATCGCTGCATCGCGTCTGTGCTCAGCTTGTGGGAGGGGCTCCTGATTTAGCTGCCCGGCAGACTGCCCAGAGGAACCCAACATGCGCGGTACCTCTGGACAGCATGAAGCTACCAAAAAAATAAAATGATAGCGTAAGTATCGGGGCATTTTCACAAGTACTTGTGAAAATGCCCTGTATCGGTCCCGATACAGATGCTAGTATCGGGACAACCCGACATTTATACATTATGGGCAAAATGAATGTTTCTGGTTCTGCTACGCAATTGGCTTTCTGAGACAAATGTATAAATGTTTCTATTTAGCTGTAACTGGGCTACAGTGACTGTGCTTTTATGATGTTGGCCACATTGGAATGTAAACAAAGACAGACTTGTTTACAATTTTGTAAATGTGGATTTTCTATAAAGATCATAATATGGGAAACGCATTGATTTGACAGATTGATGCAGATACTTTCAATCATGCAAAATAGCTGCCAAATAATGAATAAATACACATTTATAAAATTATGTTCTCCAGAGAACATTAGCTATGACCTGCTATGCATGCTTTTGCTTAGCAATCTCTGAGCAAACATATAGAAATAATAACCCACCCAACTACCAATTTTTATTCATTAGCATGATGTGTGGCACTGCCCAGTCTACTGGATGAATGTACACCTGAGGAGAATTGTGTTATCTGCTGACCTCTGCTTTTGAAAGGTTAGTTCCCTGGCCATCACACCGAGGAAATAAACACTGCTTTGCAGGTGAGGCAGCAAACAAATGATAGATTGTGAACTGCACATCGTTGTACAAATTAAGGCTGCCAATATAACCAAGTCGACAGGCTAGAACCAGTTTAGAATAACTCTTACCTAATTTGTTTTAATTGTTACATGTATTGATCCGTGTTTGACAATCCTGTTTATTTTGGTTTTATGGTAGCAATCAAAATGTATGTGTGCACAGCACCCTTAGATCCAAATTAAAAAGGATGCTGTAAAAAGGTATATGTAGGATTACATTTCATAAAAGCTGATAGTTGGTGCATTGACAACACTAAATGCATAACCTAATTATGCACCTTCATTTTCTAAACCAAAGATGGCTGAAGGGCCACACAGTTTGTGTATAATGAAAAGGAACATAATAGGATTTTTTTTTTTAAATCCCTTTCTTGGAGTCCACAGAGGCACAGGAGGTCTATGGGTTATGCTGCCGCCTACAGGAGGAATGGACACTGGAAAACGAAAAAAACAAAAAACTTTAGGCCAGCCCTGGGAAAACCCCTCATACTAGCAACATGTCTCAGTTTAGTGGGAAAGCAGTATCAAGGGCATAAAGCATAATCTTGGATTTCAAGAAAGGATTTTGTGGTAACTACAAAAATCATATTTTCCGTCTTCCTATGAGGGACACAGGATGTCTTCAACCTTTGGAATGTCCAAAAGTAGTCCACCCGACAGGTGGGCAACACAGCAAGCACCTGGTAACAAGCCATGGGTAAATGACAGAAACTGAGGACTACCTTTAGCTTAAAGAACTACCTGAAGAACCGTACACCGAAAACTGGGATCAGAAGGGGCTAAAATCTCAGGGGACTGATGCTGAAATGCTCATCACAGCACTGATGGAATGAGCCTTCTTGCAAAATGAAGAAGTTGCAAAGAGATGCACTCAAACAGCCCCAGCTACATCTAGACAATGGAGAGAAGCACCAAAAGGACCAAATTCAGCTCCAATGGAGGTAGAGTGGATTTGAATGGGGAAACCACATGGGAGAACCATTGCACAAAGGTCTTGGTCAGAGTGTGGGAAGCCAACAGTCAGTAGAAAAGAATAGCAAGTGTAAAAATGTGGGATTTGATGGTGCTAAGGTCCAAACTGCATTCCAGACCAAACTGCAGGAAACAATCTATCCCATGAAGAAGCTCGTGGTTTAAAAGCCCCCAGACTCACACCAATCAAGGTATGCCTTGCACATTTGATGATAGACCTTGTGGGAAGTATACTTCCTAGCCTTAAGCATTACACTCTCAGAAATGGCCCTCACCATCAGAACCTGGGCTTTAACAGCTTTGCCATTAAAGTCAGCGACCAAGCAGGGTGGTAAAGGAGTCCTTGGGACGGAAGATCCGCATGGTCTGGCAGAGCTCACACTCACCTGAGCCAATGTTTATCAGCAGATGAGATGACACCGACAACCAAGCCCTCTGCCCTGACAGAGTGCCCAGAAATTTCCCCAAGCCCGACAGGCTGGTGTCCATTATCAGGATCTTCCAAAACATGGGGAGGAATGACTTCCCCAATGTCAGAGCCAGATTCTGAAGCCACCAGGACTGAAGCCAGCAGGTTTGAATAATAGCTTGAAGCAAATACTGTATATAAAGGGCTGGTAAGTATGTTAGTATCAGATAAAAGCCCAGCAAAGGGATGGTCAAACAAAAACAAAAGTACATCAAATATTATTACAGGGAAAAACAAAATCACACATTTTACTCATTAGGGCACCTTGGTGATCTCCATCTTATATATATTTTTCCAGATATCTGGGTCTGTGCATGTTTTCCTGCATACGTTTTTAAAATGCAACAGTGACCTACTCTGTTTGAAAGACACCAGCATGGAGACCGGTGTATTATTCACACCTTATTGTAGTGGCAACCACTCCAGCCTGTACATATCACTTCTGTTTTTACATCTCCTTACAATGTTTTTCTGATACTGCATTACTAGTTGCTGCCATTTAGAGGAAAATAAGCAGGCCGCCATTAATGGCCTTATTCTAGACATGTTAGTGGCCTGGCCACTTATGTACAACCAGTATGCAGCCAGTGATTCCTGAACTCCTGATCTGCAAACTTATTTTGCAACTCAAAATATTAATGTCACAAAATGATAAATGATATAGAGTTGGGGATTAAAAAGGTACCATTTCTGTGGTTGCAGATTACACCAAGGTATGTAGCAGAACCAAGTCCTTACAAGATGCCTCCAACTTATAAGCAGACCTGAATGCACTCAAAACAATAAAACATCCGGCCGCACTCCATGTGTCGCTGAAAATGTCTTTTATTACAAATCACACAGCTACGCAAAGTCCTGTCTCAGGTCCACCACTCTAACACATATTACCCAATCTACGATTAAGCCCAGGATTTGGGGAAACGTGTTAAAGGGTCAGACCTGAGGCAGGAAATTGTGTAGCTGTGCGATTTTTAATACATTAACTTTCCAGCGATATATGGAATGCGGCCAGATGTTATATTGTTATGATGGCAGCCAACATGGGAGTGAGGATGAGTTCCAGTCGGTGAGCACCTGGATGCCCCCTGCTTGTGTGCTGTGGAGGAGTGGTGCAATCTTTTGGAGATCTGAATGCACTACTTGATTGGGGAGCTTTATGGCAAATTAAGTTTAAATGTTGATAAATGTAAAGTTATGCACTTGGGGACTAAAAACATGCATACGTCCTATAACCTAGGGGGTGTCAATGATGGAGAAAGATCTGGGCATTCTGGTAGACCATAGACTTATTAGCATGCAATGTCAAGCTGTAGTTTTCTAAAGCAAACAAAATACTTTTTTGTATTAAAAGAGGTATAGAATCTAGAGAGATATAATCCTGCCCCTCTACAAAGCATTAGTAAGATCTCATCTTCAGTTCACAAAAAGGATGTTGTGGAACTGGAGAATGTGCAGAGAAGGGCAAGGGGGGCAGAGGTGGACCCTACAGCTAGCAGTAGAGGAGACAGGGAGCACAGCATGGGACTGACAGAAAAGCTGTATAGATGGACCACAGCCCTGGACCTGTAAAGCATGCTGCCGCTAACCCCACACACTGCAAAAGTTCTAAGAAGGGCACTAAACAGAGTCTAATGACTGAGCACATTACATGGCGGCCCTGTGTCTTCCTTTTGGCAGGGTCCAGGTCTGTTACACCAAGACTCTGCCAAGAAGAAAACCTACCTGGATAGCAGCTGTAGGCACTGAAGTGGCTTGGAGCAACATTGGGAAAAACTTGCTTGAAGAATCTTGCAGAAAAAGAAAATCAATTAATACTAGTGAAAAAGAGTACATATCAGTGGTGGAAGAAGACTTCCATCCCCGAGAACACTAGCAAAAAAAAAAATGAACATCCCAGTGGTCTAAGAATTAACTCCCTATGTCCTGAGAGGTACGGTCAAGAAAACAGAATTATTGTCCGTGTTCTGTGATCCACTTTGTACTGCTTGCTGCAAAACTAAGGCAGTCTGGGAGTGGGAGAAGTTAAGCAGGGCTGTCCTGCAGCTTTTGAATGATTTGCCTGGTTCCAATCACCTGAAGGTAGCTGCATAACCCAATAGTCTAAGAATGAACTTCCTGTGTTTGTCACAAAAAAATGTTTTCGACTACAAAGAATAGCGCAGAACGTATCATTTATAACTGTTACATCCATAGAATACTGAATGTATAAAATACAAAAAAAAGCATTGTACAAACCTTTGTGAAGAATAAATTTATTTCAGGTTTTTAAAGATGTATATGATATATAAAAAGGTATACAGTATATTTCATCTTTCCCCAGCAACATAAAAATTTTAACAGCTAATTTGTTCGTGCCTTAATAAGTGTTGTATCTATAAGATACACTACAGATTTAAAATGTATAGAACTTCATATAGCTTCTGCAGGTAAAACCTGCATTTAGTACCTCTAACAAACAAAAGTCTCTGGACATAAACGTTCTCTCATCAGGAATAATTAAGTTACAGTTCATTGGCTAAACTGTATTCGAGTCTCCCATAATTTACAATTTAGTCATTCATTAAAATAGGTACCACATAACAAATATCTTTGTACAGGGGTTTAAATACAATGATAAAAACCATAAGAGACTGTGTACATTCTCATTTGATATACATGTTGTACAGATTGAGGTCTTTGGAAGATAAAACTTTTGAAGCACGCATAATGTACAAGATAAAAAGCACTTCTCTTTACAAGGCAACTAGAAGGGGCGACTTTCCCCTTTCGGTTATATTACAAGAGTTGTCTGCTGATCTTGGCTTTACTAAAGAATCAATAAAATTGAAATGTATAAAAGATAGCAGGTATACACAGCTAAAAGTTAACTTGGTATATATTTCATAAACTCCACAAGAAGGCCTTGCAGAATAGAAGGCTGCTCTGTGACCTAACCACAGGCAGATCACCTCCTGTATGGCTTAGCACAGGCGTGGGAGCACAGCGACATCTCAGCTAATGAACAACAAGGCATTCTGAATCTGCAGACAGACTCTGGGCTGATAGACTGCCAACATCTGGGCTAACACCAAAGGCAGGAACTTTAAGGAAAAGTCCTTTTATAAAATGCAATTAAAAAGAAAAAATACTAAAAAATAAAAACAAAAGACTTCTAGCAGCACGCACATATGTGCAAAATCCAGCTTCATCTCCTTGAGCCAGGATGAGAGAATTATCATGAATTTGTAAGTTCCAAGTTACAGCATCAGGCGAATAGACTGTTTTGTTTCTTTGGTGGGATCATCAGGATCGTTCGTTGACTCTGTATGGTCATCCTGAGGGAATATGACTTTATCAGGGGTGTAGTCATTCCTCTTCAAATCTTAAAAAAAAAAAATACATACAACAAATATCAATTAGCCTTACTTCATTTACACAGTACTATTGCACTTTTCTGGCTTTGATCTTTAAGTGAAAATGTACTTTGTTACGGTCTTTTTAAAATGTACCTTTTGTCTTGAATCATTACTGTAAAATAGCAGTACATTTCATGGTATGAGAGGCTGCCTACAAATTTACATCTGTATATCTGCAGCATGTGATCTACTGCTGCCTCTGACTGCTAGTGTCAGGAGATTCAGAGTAAGATTTGAGTGATATCTCTATGTACTGCTCACTGTTCTCCTTGCTGGAGGCTTTGACATGAGGAAACAAAGCCCTACCTCTACCAAGATGTTCCAAACAGAGAAAAGCGCAAAACAAATGGTAAGTCAGTAGTCGAAAAAGATCAGGCGCAGGGACACCACAGGCAATACTAGTGACAAGGCCATTGCCCCCCTTGCCTGTGTTTTTTGGGCACCCCTTCAGAGTTCAGCTCCTCTTAACAGCTCTGCCATTAGAAACCATAAAGAGTTTGTTTCGGCCAGTATTAACCACAAGAAATAGCACAGAGGAAGCTTAACTGAAGGGACAAAATTCTAATCACCCAAACTGGATCACTTCATTATTGCATGCAGGAATTTGGCATAGCTTTTCCTGTATGAATTTTATGTGATGGTAGTTTTGCCACTATTATCGCTGGGATTAATCAATATTTATCACAATTATAGTATACATATTGTCTTTAATTCAAAGCTAGTATTTGGGGTTACACTAAGGTTCAGGTCATCCAGTGACAAACACCCATTCCAGAAGTTAATATGCCTGAAACCAGTCTCCTTAACACAGTGATAGGAAATATGTTTTATTACATATGATGAGCATACTTCATGGGAGAACAAAGTACAGACAGCAGACACATCAGATACAGCACACTGGCAAACGTATACAAAGCAACAAATTGATGTGGATATGTCGCTGCGCACATGGCAGCTTTCGATGCATCAACCTGTTGTTTTGTGAACCACCTATGGTGCCCATATCAAATATTTGTAAAATTGTTACTTTAATCACTTGCTGACCGGGGTGTTGAAGCCCCCTTCCTGGACAGGCCATTTTTCAGTATTCAGCGCTGCGGTACTTTGACATTTATTCCGTCATGCAACGCTGTACTGAAACATATTTTATACCATTTTTTTGGGGACAGATAGAGGTTTCTGTGGTGGTATTTAATCACCACTGGGGGGTTTATTTTTTACTATATAACAAAAAACCCAAAATTTTGTAAAAAAACCAAAAACAAACAGTTTCACTATGAAATTTAATGAAACATTTAACTCCCCAATTTTTTGGTAAAATATAAAAGACTGGGTCCCGTCGGGTAAATAGACACCAAACATATCAAGCTTTAAAATGGCGCGCTCCCGTGAAATCGCAGAAAACGACCACACCCAAAATTGGCCATAGGCGACGCTTTAAAAGCTTTTTCCGCTACGACACACAGAGAAGCTGATGAAGCAGAGGTCTGCTTCATCAGCCTGTCACCGGCATCTGTAACTGGAGAGTGACACTATATGCAGGAAGTGATGTAATATACTTCACTTCCTGCATTCGGGGACCGAGATGAGATTAAAAGGGAGATAGTCTACTTATCTCCGCTGACAGCGTCACTGTGCCGGTCCCAGCCGCACCGGGCACAGTGGATCTCGGGACCGGCAGCAAGGCGGCGACGACGGAGGTGCGGGGGGTGCACACCCGCAGCTACTGCAAGCGATCGGGCGCCCGATCGCTTGAATGCAAACAGCCATCGCTGGCTGTTTACATTGCTAACAGTTTCCCACTCATGTGCGCGCTGAGTGCCACGGCCGAGGGGGGAGGGAGTTGCAGGACGTCTTAAGACACCCTCCTGCTCCTACAAGACTCACGTCCATGGCCGTTCAGGAGCGGCCATGGACGGGAGGTGGTTAACAAAAGCAAAACTTTTAGGTTTTCATTGCCTAATTAGGCTTTTTTTAATAATTTCATGTGTTTGAAACCATTTCATATCGAACTGAAAGTGTTGTTTTTTTAACACCCTTTACGCTAACTCAAAGTCTGTCATTTCTAGTCAGATACTGAGAATGAGTCAGGTCTACTTTTAAATAATATACATTCCCCCTAAAACAGCAAAGGGCTGTTATTTACTTTCCTCTGCCACCATACAGAAGGATTAGGATGCTGGAGCATGGACAGTTCAGCCGACACCACCATCTTGTCTGCTCCTACTGATTCAATGCCAATAAAAAGGAGGATTCCTTAGAACAGTGCCACACTGAAGGATCAACTGGATGAGACCTACTAAAAACACATTTTGTATTGGGCCTAGAACAGAAAATTTCAAAAGAAAGACTTCAGAATGTGGGTGTCAAATCAATGACTTTTCACTGGAAAATGCAAGAAATTATTTATTTGCTATATTGTGGTCAATGAGAGCCTAATAATGAATGATAGATACACTTACCTGGGAGCTTAAGCTTTCTACAGCAGGAATTACAGCGGTGCTTAGCACGGAAATTTTTGATGGCATCATCTCCTAAATTTGCTGGTCCGAATACCATGTCTGATGACCTAGAGAGAGATGCAAGACATAAGTTCTTGCAAGTTCTAGTTTAACAAGTATGCAAATATTAAATAGTACTGCTTAATTACAGACATAAGGATACATAGATTGAAGAAATAATCATAGTCTACTGATTTTCACGACACTCCAAAATACCAATAATATAGCAAGGATTTACTTCTTAAAAGCAACAAAATACCTGCACTGGTCCAGATATGCAAGTCTGAAAATGGCAAGATGTGCAAGCCTGAAAATGGCATTTGCTACAAAGATTGTACAAAAACCCACTGCGTCTGCTAGTTAGTGGAAGTGATGCTGCAAATACTACACATTTTACTCTCTACAAGCATAAGAGAACAAGCTAACCGTAACAGTATCCATAAACCAGTGCCAGTGTTATAGCACTGTCACAGGATAGGGCAGACTTTCAATCTAGAATTATAAAGTCTATGGGTACTAGAGGACAAATCCAGCCAACTAGTCCTTGGGGAAATTTATATTTTGGGGTAATGACCATTTTAACTAAGCTATCATGGCTCCACTTTAACATGTGCACAGGCAGTAAGGGTGTGCATTTAGAAAAAAGTATTTGGTAAACTGGGTAGGACTGTTCAGAGATTGAAGCATGCAATCCCATGGCCAGCTTTCTAAAAGGAGAGTCCCTGTCTTGGTGTTGTATCAGAAAATACACGATAACACTGTACAAAAGCATAATTTCTTAGTTTATACCTATAGTTTCCCAAGTACTCATTATCTTCCCCTAAATTCAAATGGGTAACGGGCATAAGAACAAGACGTAAGCACTTGTGCTTTTCATAACCCTGTGCTGGGTTTGCTTCTTTTAATAAGCATAACTGTTTGGAAGGAGCCATATAGATGAACTGGTGCCACACTGTCAATGTCATGATGCAGACACCATGCATCTGAGTGTGCAGTGAACTTAATGCTTTGATAAACACTCATGTGTTCGATACACACTTCTAAAATTCAAATATAAACAAACATACTACAAAATATGTATAAAAATGCAAAGAAATGAAAATGACTAATGCATCATATAAACAATATCTGCTTAGTATTGTACAAAACGGATGAGGAAAAGCTACCCTTAACCCTTTTGCTGCCACCGACGTAAGGCATACGGCGGAACAAAAGTGTTCCCGGCTGGCCAGCTCAGTATGCCTTGCGTCAGTGGCATTTACAGTTCTGCTATAAGCTCATGGTCGATTTAGCGACCATAAGCTTATAGCAAAACTGTTCAGCAGAATGTCCCCTTCAAAATAATAGCTGCTGATGACCGCTGTTAACGAAAATACCGGGCGCACCCCCCCACCGCTGCTGCCGGCCGACGGCATCTGGAGTCTCTCATCCCTGCCTGAAGCTGCTCAATGCAGGGATGAGAGACTCCATGGATCCCCACTGCTGTCCCCCACTTGTAGGGTCTGTAGCAGTGGGGATCCGATTAAAATTGGCCGGCGGGGGGTGAGCGGCGGCCGGCCATAATTCAGGATTAAATATCATTGATATTTAACGATCCCTCTGTGCAGAGCAAACACTGGAGTGATCGTTTGATCACTCCGGTGTTTGTAAATAACTGGGGACACATAGTACTATGTGTCCCCAGTTATGAATGAACAGGCTGAATAATAAAAAAAACACAACCCCTCCCTCCCCCAACATAACATACACATAATGAGGTGTACGCCATGCACATGTGGCAGCGCATGGCAAAGCTTTGTGACGCATTGCCATATGTTGTGATCTTTGTGTTGCAATAAATATATGCCTGTATCATTTTATCACAACACAAACACAGCGTAAAAACAATTTTTACCATAAGCCGCTTATTTACAGTTGTGCATACTGTAATTTTTCTACCTTTTTGCAAAAAGGCGCAATTTCAAATTTGCAAATAACCGAGTAGAATAGAAAAAGTAGAAAAAAAGAGAGAATGATTGGGCGGCGCTAGCATTGACAGCTAGCTCCACCCAACTGTTTTCTATTGGACGGGACCAGCTGTCATTACAATGAGAGCTTGTCGGAGCCGGCGGATTAAATATACGCCTGTATCATTTTATCACAACACCAACACAGCGTAAGAACAATTTTTAACATAAGTCGCTTTTTTACAGTTTTGCATGCCTTCATTTTTTTTACTTTTCGCAAAAAGGCGCAATTACAAATTTGCAAATATTTGTTATTTATTAACTCAATACAGTTTTATCTTTCAGATTTAGTCAGAAATTTTTTTTTTTGTGCACGGATACTGATTTTAGTGTGCTTTATCAATCGAATTGTGTATTTTTATCGGTTTAATATTAATTTGAGAAACATTTGCGCAATTATCGCACGGCCTACAAATTTAGTATCACCATCTTTTTATTTTACCGGGCCTGCGCTTTCAGAAAATATATGGTTTGGGGGGTCTTTTACAAACGCTAGATACGCAGCAGTTGAAAATCAAATCAATGGGAAAAATTTCAAAAATGGCTTGGCCAGCTGAATTGAAAATTTTTTCGGAGGGCTTGGCAGTGAAAGGGTTAAACCAATAACAGTGTGTACTACGACATGCTAATGGAAAAAATAAAACACACTTTGATCAGTGTTCAGTTAAAAAAAAATATTGTTACTGTAGATAAGTGTACATTTTATTCTTTTATTTGAATTTAAAAAATGTAATTCCTTTGTCATTTTAAAGATTTTGGTACAAAGTATTGCAAAGTTAATTACAAATAAAATAAATGCTTTCCCAATTTTGCATTCTTTTTACATGACAAAAAAATTAAAGAACAAAACGAATACAAATTAAATGTTTAATTATTAATTGGTAGAAAAATAGAAACCAAAAAAATAAAAAACAGGAACATAGTGAAGGGAACAGGAAGAAGAACTATTTATTTAGGGCTGCTTAGGGTAAGGACATACAGTATGCAGATAAAAGCTCATCCATATGATCTGCAACTAAAACAGTAGTTACAAAAGTAACAATGTTACTTTGTATCTCTATCTCACATCTGAACAGTGTATATAAACACTGTATCAGACAATATTTCTTTGACAGCAGCATCGATTACCGTATTTTTCCGTGTACGAGACGCTACTTTGTCATTAAAATGTTTAAGAAAAGAGGGGCGTCTTATACACGGGGGCCGAGAGGAGAACCGCGGTTGCGACACTCCCGAAAGTGACGATACCACTCCAAACTAGCCTCACGAGTGAAACTTCGGATTGCAGAGACAAGATAAGTTTTCCTCCAATCGTAAATCTTTTGTACCGGACATCAGCTGTTGTTGGGGAGAGTGGCTATGTAATCCGCTCTCCCCAGCAACAGCTGACGTCAGGTACAAAAGATTTATGATTGGAGGAAAACTTATCTTGTCTCTGCAATCCGAAGTTTCACTCGTGAGGCTAGTTTGCAGTGGTATCGGCACTTGTAATGCGATCATAAATCTTTTGTCCCCGACGTCAGCTGTTGCTGGGGAGAGCGTGTAGCCAGTGCCCAGAGCTGTAATGGCGGAGCATAACTTGATTGACTCAGAGATAGGTGTGATGCATTATATCATTTAAAATATTGATTTCTTAATTTTGGGTAAGAAACGTTGGGGGCGTCTTATACATAGGGGTTTCTTATAGGCAGAAAAATACGGTACATGTATGCATTCACTCCCAACTACAGTAAACTCCCAGTTACCCGGCACCCACGGGGATTGGTAGGTGCCGGATAACTGTAGTTTCTTGTTGCTTGAGAGTTGCACCAAGCCACAAACAAAAAATAAAAAAAATCGAAGACATAAGACGGTTGCTTGAACATTGGACAATAGGGAGTTTACTGTATTATTCTGACAACTGGGAATTGCCAGCAAGTGCAAGGAGGGGGAAAACGCCGAAGGACAGGGAGTACTACACATGCCATGTATGCTTCAATTACGTTTTTTGGGCATGTGTAGCACATATACAGTGTCCACAATGTATTCAATTTTATGGATAAAATTCTATAATAAAATACGAAATGGTTTCAACTCGCCTTTTTTCTCCAGACTTGATGACTGATGGGTCAGTTAAATTCTCTCCAACACCTTTAAAAACACATGTGTTAAGCCCGTTAGAAGCCATGCCTAAATTTGGCAGTACAAATGTTTAAAAACATAAACAGCAAATCCACTTAGAATAGAAAAAAAACAAAGCTTGGAGAGATGTTCACCTTGTAAGTCTAGAACTAGAAGCTCTCCTCTTGTATATTCAAATGTCCAATGACTAAAAGCCAACATGGTTTCCTCCAACATATTTGTTGGGACAATCTCATCTCCGTTGTTGTTGTTATATTTGCGGAATTCTCCGTTCATACACTCTTCTATGGCAAACCACTGCCCAGCTGAATGGCAGTATAGCAAGAACACTTCAAGAAACCTGCAACACACATACGTGAGATTTCTGTAGTAAATTCCATGCTCTTAAAGATGTTTACGTTACCACACAAAGAAAGATTATCATATGCTTACCAGTTATATTACATGAATAAAAAACAATGTTTCCATGAGCATAATGCAACTATAATTGATTACAAGATATCATTCCAATTTGTCATTAGAAATGAATGCACAAGAACAATTTTTAAAGCAGCAGCACATTTATAAAGCACAGTACTTCAGGATTCCATAGAACGCAAAGCCCCATTTATTTTCAAAGGAGGGGAGAAAGAGCCCAGTTGAAAGACCTGGTGAAGTCAAGTACCCAAGTTCTCTTTCTTTCATGAGTGTTCTCAGCAGCTATATGCAGAGAACACTTAGGACACAGAAGGCTCTACACTGCTGCTTGTAATTTATAATTGACTTAAAATGCAGGCACAGCGTAGAGCAAACACTGTGGTCTCCATTATAAATAAGTAATAATGTCAGAACAGCGCCTGGAGGTTGATTATGCCTTTGCCAAAGTTGAGTTGTGCCCGGCACAGCACTGATAAGCAGTTCTGAAGAGGCAAATTATATAAAATTAGACAATAAGCTGTACAAAATTCCAGCATTCACTTCCCTGTTGTGTAAGAATATAAGCATCATAAATTTACATACACCAGTTTTTACTCCCTTGTTGTGTTAGAATATAAGTGCCATTAATGTAAATACACAGCTGTGGCACCAAACATATTAACCGTTTGCATAACCACAAGTAAAAAAAATAACCATGCTGAATCAGCAAGGTACATCTGTAGAAGGTATCCATCAGCTGTGATTAAATTTTCAGACAATTAGAGGATGTCCATTTATGCAGAAAACAAATGTATTTTCAGATACTATGCTTTACAATATAATTCATTACCTTGGAGAGTATGGGATAGATTTTGGCTTCATTGCATTAAATGCAAATGTCATTTTCTGTGCTGCCCTTTGCTGCTGTATTTCCTAAATGTTTAGACATAACACAGAATAGTATCAGACACCATACACAAAACAAACATCCTAAAACATTTAAAAATACCGATTACAGTACAGGGACTTCACACAAAAAAAAAAGAAAATAGCACAAGACCTTTGGCTGTAGCCTACAGTTATATGTTATCATTGGGGTCAGGCGGAAGGTGTCTTTACAGAATAATTATGCTTTGAAGAGATAAATGTGTAGCCAGATAACTGTAATTACAGTTATTTTAGAGGTCTACATTCCTGAAAATGTATACAAACATTCCAGTGAGTGTTTTCTGACTATGTGGGACAAACCCCGCCTGGTTCTAATGAATCAAAAAACACACAGAAAATAATTCTGGTCGCTGAGATTTTTGTTAATATTTTTACGTCAATATTAAGGTGCAAGATTTGCCTATAATTGTGCGGGTCCAAAGAATCTTTTCCCGCTTCAAGTAGCGTTAAAGATGAAGAATGCAGATCAGTAAGATTACGGACGCAGTTGAAAAGGTTAGTGCGGTGGGGAGCACGAGTTGAGACCTTTTTATAACAGAAGCCTAAAAAAACACAGTCAGGGCCTGGGGACTTAATAGTGTGAAGAATGGTTACTTCTGCTTCCATTTTTTCTACCATGGCTTATGATAAGGTAGGAGGTTGAATGTCATGAAAGAATTTATCCACTAGAGGAGTGATGGCTAACGTTTTTGAACCATAGTGCCCAAACTGCAACGCAAAAATCAATTTATCTCAAAGTGCCAACACTGAAAATAAGTTTGGTATTGCACTGCAGTTTGGGCACTGGGGTTTAAAAAAACGTTCCGCACCACTGCCTTACGCAAAATAGGGAAACATTTAAACACTCAATAAAACACACACATCACACACTCATTAAAAAAAGCAAAACACATCACACACATACGTTGAACAATAAAATGTTATAATTTTAAAAAGTTGTCCTCTCTCGTGCTTACTTGTTTTGCAGGGAGGGGGCTGCATCCCTGGGGTCCAGTGGGGCACTTGGGGATTATCTTGGTGGTCCAGTGGAGGATCAGTGTGATCTGCATCTCTGGGTAATGCAGGCCATATTTATCGCTCCTGCCTGTGAGCAGAGGCACCACGAGGGACTGATAAGTATGGTCTACGTTAGCAAGAGATGCAGATCATACTGATCCTCCACTAGACCACCATGAGATAATTTTCAATTAATATATTGCTAGTTCGGCGATATGTTAAATAGGATCTGGGCACCTGCCAGGTTTAAAGATTGCGTCTGTCATTAGCGGCGGCCTTCTTTAAAACCTTAACGTCACACCAGAGGCCTGCGCAGAGCACCCCAGTAGAGAACCTGGAGTGTGCTGGCCCCTGCAACCGGCACCTAGGCTCACGTGCCACCAGAGGGGCCTCTGCGTGCCCTCGTGCCATAGGTTCACCATCACCACGCTAGAGTATGTGGAAAGGGTGGTGGTGCTTGGTGCAATTCAGATAATATGAAATGAAACTGTTACACAATATAGTGTAAGGGTTAGCTGTCACTTTTTTGTCCACTAGGCACAGTTTAATATGTTTACAGCTTTATAGTGGAAGTTAAGCAGATTAACCAGCATGGGGCATAGTTTATTTGCACAAGCATAGAAATTTCCCTTTGCCCAGCGTAGTTTTTCTGGTAAAAATTACAATACAACAAAATAAAAAAATAGGATTTTGGTACTCACCGTAAAATCCTTTTCTCTCCGTTCATTGAAGGACACAGGGAACAGATCGGAGATCATGTACTGTAGGGACGTCACAGAGCAGTACCAAAAAAGTGGGGTGGGTCAACAGAAACAACAAACCCAACTAAACAAAAAAATTCCCTCAAACGGCCGCCTGCAACACTTTGCGCCCCAACCCAGCATCCGACATTTTTAACAGCATCTACTTGTTTGCACAAGGATGCAGAACAGCGGTGTAGTGGTTAGCGCTTCTGCCTTGTAGCACTGGGGGGTCCCTGGTTTGAACCGGCCAGGTCACTATCTGCAAGGAGTTTGCATGTCCTCCCTGTGCTTGTGTGGGTTTCCTCCAGGTACTCCAGTTTCCTCCCACACTCCAAAGACATGCTGGTAGGTAAATTGGCCCTTGTGCGTATGCATGCGAGATGGGGACCTCAGATTATAAGCTCTTTGAGGACAGGGACTAATGTGAATATACACTATGTAAAGTGCTGCATAAATTGTTGGCACTATATAAATACCAATAATATATAAATAAACTGTGCTCACAATTGCTCAAGGCATAGCGATCTTACCATCTTCTCTTTTTCCTTATGTGCTGTTAACTGATTAATCACCCGTTTACAAAACAGGTTTGCAATTGTTAAATCTTCTCCTAT